ATACCTTCAATGAAGTTTAATTTTTTGAAAATGAAAACTTAATTTAACAAATATCTCACTAACCAATTCTCCTTGGTTTTCAATGGGTATCCACTTCATATGACCAGAATACACTAAATAAAGAAATATAAACCAGAAATAAAAAAAATTATAACTAAAACACTATAATATCAGATTTTGTTAAATTTAGAGAAATTGAAAATATCTAAGTAAGAAATAAAATAAAAGTTCCACCTATATTTATAGTTATCAAGTGTGGAAAATGATATTGTACTTTAAAAGTGTACAAAAGATTAATGCTAATTATTTTTTATATTATGTTATTTTGTAGCATTCCAAAACATGTTTTTTTAATTCTATACAATGTTTGTAAATATAAACATATATACATGGACAATTTTACATGTGCCATTATATTTCAAAACAATACTAAAATTTAAGAGCACAACTATTAAATTATTAGTAATTGGGAAACCCAAATAAACACTGTTTAAACATTTATTTAATAACAATGTAAAAGTAGTAACAAGCAATAACTTAAATGGAACAGATTCATTTACAGGTAGTGGCAAAAAAAATGGAAACACCAATGTAAAGTCACTTAATAGGGTATTGGGCCACCATGTGCGGCCAGTACAGCCTGCATGCACCGTGGTTTAGAGTCTACCAGCATCTGGAAGTGTGCAGGAGGAATGCGACACCACTCTTCCATGAGAAAGTCAATCAACTCACGCCTAGTTGACAGAAGTAGGAAACACTGTCTCAGGCATCGTTCCAGTATATCCTATACATGCTCGATTGGGTTCAGATCTGGTGACTGAGAAGGCCACGACATATGGATAATATCAGTGTCATGCTCCTCAAACCAATGGGTGACTATTTGTGCTCTGTGGACGGAGGCATTGTCATCTTGAAAGAGACCTCTCTCTGCAGTACATAAATGCTATAACATGGGGTGAAGATGATCACTCAGTACCAGGCATCAACCTTGCCCTCTAAGGGTATGAATGCGCCCAAACCATGCCAGTAAAATGCACCCCACACCATTATGGAAGCACCAGAACCCTTCACTATGTGAACCAAGCACTCAAGGCTGTAGATTTCTTTAGGTTGGTGCCACATATGCACTCATCCATTTGTCGAGAATATGGTGAAGGATGATTCATCTGACCATACCATCTTTCTCCACTGTTTGGTAGTCCACAGCCTGTACTCTTTGCACCCATGGATACGCAATTGTACATTGCCAGGTGTGATGAGCAGTTCATGCATTGCAACCCGACTATGGTATCCCATTCTGTGAAGTTCTTGGCAGACTGTTTTTGACGAAACTGCTGCTCTCACCTCAGGTTGAAATTTGCAGTAAACTGATCTGCAGTTGCTCATCTGTCTTGGACATCATGATTCTAGAGTATGCAATTTCATCCACTGTTGCCTTTTGTTGAGGGTGTCTTTCCCACGGAGTTTCATGCTGACATCACCTTAGACACTGTTGCTATAAAACATCAGCAAGTTGGGCTGTCTTGGTCAGTGAAGTTCCCGCCATTTTTTACATATGACCTTATGCATGCTGGGATGTTATCTGCTTAATTAATGGGCAAGCCACACCTATGTGGTAGTCTCTACATTACATATACCTGTTGTCCCTCATTTACCCAAGTGTTTCAATTTTTTCTTCACTACCTGTATTTTTTTTAACACCATAAAACAGGATTTTCATCCTCAGTTAAAAATAACTTTTCACAACTTTTCTAGGACATTTCAGCCATTTTTCATGGCTTTTTACTGCCTTGCATCACCCTTCATATCTACTTTATCCTCACATCTTTAAGCTTTTTTTTAAAACTTTATTTAACTAACCACATGTTAATTAAGTTAGTTGTTCATAGGAAATGATTAACTGTTATTAGATCAGATAATGCATTTCATAAAGTAAAAGGTTTCCAGGATATTCATCTTTTTCTTGATTTTTTACAAGCTTAAGAGTTAACTTCAGAATTTTTCAGGCTTTCCAGGATGCGTGGGACACCTGATAAAATATACTTAGCCATCCAAAGAGAAATGCTGGTAGGAAAAGAAATAAATTGGCAGATCTTTGATTAAACGTAAAATAGGCTTAAGAAAATCCAGAAAGTCAAAATCAAACACCTCAAAACTTATGATACCTTTCATTTCATATTAGGTCAAAAACAACATGCATAATAAACAATAAATGTGGAATTCATGAGTACTACTACACTAAAAATAAAGCTCAGCCTAAGATAATGAATAATTTTCAGAAACATATCTCAATACACAATTTATTTAATGACAACCACTACAAGACATGTTGAATTATAGGAATCATGTCTTGTAAAAAATATAAGATACAAGTGTATATATATACATCATGTCAAGTTTTCTACAACAATCACTTTAAGAGACACCATGGACACACAAGAAAGTAAACAATTAGATCACATTTTGAATCAATACATTGCATTATGTCATAATCATTATAGGCAACAATAAAAACTACCACTGATGAAGCCCATACAAAAAATGTCCTATCCAGTCAGAAACAGAATACTTGGCCATCCTCAATACTGTAAAATAAGCAATGTAAGATAAACTGTAGTTTAATAATCTTTTCACCAAGTTTTGAATATAGCTCATAAGAATGCCAATTCAGTAATCTTTTTATTCATTTTAGGATCATGTCTTAATTTATAATGTTCATACCACTTTATATGTTGAAGATTCATGTTTTTATGTGTTTGTACTTTTTGTAACCTTTGTCCAAATCTATTAAAATTATCTTCAAATAACATACATGATATTCTTTTCATACTTTTCACTAATATTTTCATTTTGATAGAATTTATCTAATGTTACTAGGATATCACAACTTTCAGTAATCTTTTCAGAAATCTTAGTCTATAATTTACAAAATATCTTTTCACAAAAATACTTCTGTTTTGTCATCAACATCATCATTAATAAAAGATGAAAGACTGATAACATTCCATTTATTATATAAAATATCAGATGGTAAAACCATATAAGCACCCAGTAACTAACAATTGCTGAGAAATAGTTTTTGAGCAATTTCAGTTCTCATCAGGTCAGTTATAACACTAACAGAAATGTGAGAAATGGCTGATATTAAGAAAGCCTTAATGCTAAACTCAACTGGAAAGCCTCGAACACTCTTTAGAAATAAATGAATAATAGGATGTGTGTATTTAAAAACCATTGCATTGTTTTCAGCACACCGTTATATTAAAATTAAAGAGTTATTATAATATAAAAACTTATTTTATTCATACATGTATTTACAAATTTAAAGATACATAAAAAAAATTAACCTTTACTATTTTTGAAGAGATCTTCAGGTGTTGTAGCATCTTTTGGAGCATGAGGATTTTTTGTGCATTTTATTTGTAACTGGAATTCTAAAGTGTCTTCAGCAGTGCCTTCAGCATCTCCTGCCAAAAAAAAATACATTAATGAGCTAAATTAATTTATTAAGCAACTTGAGATTAATATACTTTATTAATATACATGCATTAGCTACATATTTTTTAATTTTGTTCTCAAGCCACTGAGGCTCACATCATGTTACAATAAAAATTGGAAAAGAATTAGAATAATATGAATAAAATTAAAATAACTGATTAACAACACACACACACAGTTTTTGTTAATAGTTTTGGCAGAACTTGTGTTTTTTCTGCAATACACAGCTGCCACCCATTCCAGTGTACTCATCATCATTGCTTCAAAATTCTTGCACTCAATTTATCTAGTGTGTTTTTGAATGCATTAAACTACTTCTACATATTTAATGATAATACAAAATAGGAATCTTATCCTCTGTATACACCTAAGAAATTTCAAGAATGGGCTGTTAATTTTGTATTTAAAGCTGCTTGAAGCAATGTCTCTTGGAGATGTTAGACTTGAAAATGGGTCTTCAACTGTAAAATATACAATGAATGCAAATGAAGTCTGGACTCTATTTGAGAACTTAGGTCTAAGCTCAGTTATTATCATCATCATCATCACTGATATCAGTGCATTCATTACTACCACCACCACCTCCCCTTGCACCCCTTAAATTTCCATGTCTACAATCATACTGCACTACACTATCAAAGCAAAGACATACAGTATTTGCAAAAAAAAAAACACACAAAATAAGTCCATCACTTTAAAAACACAATCTAAGCAAACTTCAATCCTACTTATTTTTGTAATTGTCTAAAATATTAGTTTGACAATGAGCTTGAACTGTTAAGACCAATGCCACCAATTAATTGCAAATGCCTAATATTTAATAGTATATAAAATATTTGGGTTTGTAAATTCAATTGCATTTCCTCGGTCATGTTTGGCTATTTTTGACAAAACTATTAAATATAAGCAGTCGCTAAGAGACAGTTTTATGTTAGCTTTTTACTAATATATACTAGGCAAAAATAGTTTCATGTCTCTGGGTAAACTACTATATTTTCTTTAAAAACTGTTTTAAGTGTGTTATGAATATTTTGACGAAAATTAGCAATAACAAGTAAATTATTGTAAAAAAAAAAATCACAGTTCTTGACAAATGATCTTGAACTAAATTTACTGAGTTCACAATAACTAAGTAATTGTAAGTGCCTAATATATATTAGTGATATAACTCGGTTTTATATCATAACATTATCATTTCAGGTGATTTACAAAAGTGAGCAAAACAAAATTTAAAAATTACTGTTCTTAGAATTGACCTGAGCAAATGACCTTTACCTTTGATCACCAATCAATCTCTCATGTCAAGAAATATAGGCGTGTATGCTTCATTTGTTTCTGTATTTCTTCGAGTTACTTTGAGAGAGCAGTTTTAGATGTTCTATAATTTCTATCAAAATCCTGACTTTGTTACCATGACAATGTCATAACTTCTAACACCTACTCTTTTGAGATGCCTATTACACAGCATTGTAAAATACAAATTATGTGCTTTCTGAAGATGTATGATAGCCTTTGTCCACCTGAGTGCTAATGATGGCTTAAATTATGGTCATTTAACTTGAAGAATGAAAAAAAACAATATAAATCATTAGAAAACCAAAATGAAGAGTTCTTCTTTCTCATGCTTTCATACAGACAGTATTAAATATAAAAAAACATCACCTTTCCCAATTAGAAAATTCCAAATAATTACTCTGCTTACTCATTACATTATGAAACATTTGAGAAATGTTAAAAATATTTGTCAATTTGAAGACTTGATTCTGTTCATGAACATCTCTTTCATACAATAGTGGAGATAGATTCAAAGTAAAGTTAAAGAAAAAATTGTGAAAGCATAACTCTTGACTCACAAGTTGGCCAACAACTCTGTATGATGTTAATTCTGTTTTCTACATATGAACAACTATATTACTAACTTTCCAATCAGTATGTATGCCCGTCATAAACTGCTGGAAGAGATATAGGTTCTAATGCAGATTCAGCAAGGACCTTATTGCTCTGAGTGCTACTACCTTATTAGTTTCAGTGTAACACATTCAAAAAGGTATATTCAAGTGTAAAAACTGAACTAACTGTAGGACAACTGTTTCTCTCCTCCTCAACCTCTCAATTAAGTATGGTATTATTCACTTGAATCATATTTCATAATAAATGTGGTATTGTATTGCTTACAAAATTCATTCCCTTGTGTAGGTCTTGTCAAATATCAAATGCCAAGAAACTAAGAATAATGACTTGATATCTGGGATGATTTTTAGCAAATCTTTCATTGAAAGACTTGCACTCATTCATGTGTACATTAATATTTGCAATACATAAACATAATAAATAAACACAAGAGAAAAGACTGGTACATCATTTGTATCTCCAATAAATATTGAAACACTGTAAAGGAAGTCCAAATTGATATAAATATAAAAAGACTTTTGGACTTCTAATGTTTGACTACTAGCCAATAAGCATGCATCACTAAAAATAGGCTCTGGTTTTCCAAGAAATGGCTGAGATGGTTTCCATCAACTTTCCATGGGCTTCATATAATTCTATTTTGCACAAAAATTGCATGATTAATTAACCCTCAAACTGCACAAATAATGGCAGTGTGTGTGTGTGTATTTTATTTATGTCTAAAATGCGCAACTTACACAAATTGAAAACTGAGTCGTTTTTATTGAATGACTACCCTCAATGGGTTAAGCTGCTATCCTCACAATCCTTATGCACATATGTGTGAAAAGCAATATTTGACGAATCCTGTAGTCTCTAATGAATATAGCAGCAGCAGCAACATAAAACAAAGTATTAATATGATATACCCTAACAGAAACATCATATAAAAAGATGTTAACTTCAACAAACTGATCATTTTTTGGGGGATACATATGAATGTATTTGGCATTTTTTAAAGGAGCTATTTGTTCAATTCAATACTCAAAAACAGTTTCTCAAAATTGTATACATTTTAACTAATATAAACATTCCACCAGTGGCAAATACAGGTTTTGGGGATCTATTACGTGAAATAACAGTGTATAATTGTATATAAACTGGCTTACCTTATAAAAGAACTACAAAACATACACGAAGGTCTGTATGAAGTTGCTCCATGTGTCATGGTAAATACAGATATATATATTAAATAAAATTCAATCTGTTTGTATATAAAGAAGCTAAGAATTAATCTAGCCTTCAACCCATTTTCTCATTTGTTTTTAATCAGTTAATCAAAATTAACTGATTCGATATTTTGAGGTGTATTAAATACTGCAAGCTCTTTTCACTTTGTACATGAATCTAATTCATTTAAGGAATGATTAGTCCTAACACAGTCTCATTAAATGTTGCAGAATACATTTACTATCATCTTAAAACTGTTACTTTTTCTAACATAACATTAATTGATACATCTTGTTATTGGACATATTTCTAGATCATTCAATGAAATAAAGGAAGATACTCTACAGTATCCAGACATGTGTTTTAATAGCTTGTTTAACCTGAATTTCTGATTTGAATCAGACATGGTTTGCACTTTTGTTAATTATTCCTGACTAAATGCAAAGTTATTTGCCATTAGTACCAACTTTGTTTTTACAAACAAAATGTTTAAATTTATATTTGCTAAACTTACAAAAGAATGTATCATCTTTGTTTTTTCACTCTGAATAATGCCTACCTTCTTGCCTATACTCAAACAGACGAGGATCGGCCTTGATAGGTATCAACCCAAGACGATGAGCAAGTACTTCATCCTGAACAATACTTGTATTATTATAAATAAATACTTTCTCTACAGCCATTGTTGGAATCTAAGAAAATAAAAATGTTCATAATTCAAGGAGGTAAAAGCAGTCTACAGACTGACTTCCAACAATCTAATTCTGAATGCAATGTATCTGTAAATACAGTTCCAATTAGAGCAACAAACCTGAACCTGAAGTTCTTTAAAAAATAAATAAATGCCCTAGCCAGGTATAAAATGGCGAATAAACACAGAATGAACACAATCAATGGATAATTTTAAAGTAAAATAAATGATAGTTTTGGATACAACCGTATAATATACTAGGAGTCTACAAATGGTTGAACACAATCTTAAAACATATAACAATTTTTAAAAACAAAGGCATGCAGTAAAGTACATATTGGTACTATGCCTTACATTTATTACACCTTTTCACATAACCAATAGTATCAACATAAAGCATATGGTACATGTAATTCAAGAGCTTTTTCTTCTAGCAGTTAAATGCTGTGATTTATTGGTCCATACTCCTTCCAGAAAACATGGCAATTTGTGAGAGACACAAGACACATCAAGTTTAGTTTATACCCTACATCTACCAATCACATGCCATCTCAAACAGCACACCAGGGAAACAGGAAAGTAATTCCAGAATGCATGCTTGTTAATGTCTTTGACAAATGGCAAAGATATATGGAAATTGCACTAAGTGAAAGAAATCATGTCGAGAGTTTCTAAGCCTGAGGGTAAGAAAATAAACATGTACTTAATTGCATGTTGCTATCTTTGTTCTTTAAAAATTATACTGTCTTAAGGTATACACGACCATTTGTAGATTCTTTGTCTATCAGTTGTTCAACAGAAATATGAATGACAAACACAATGAAAAAGTTCTAAACATAAATTGTGTTTTATTGTCTTTTTCTACTATGAATAATAATTATTTAATACTAAAACAATAATCTAAAATTTTAAAAAATAATTTCAACCAAATAAAAGGAATTTTAATAATTCCATTACTACAAACAATTAATTTTGTAAACAATTGAAACAGGTTTGTTTGGTTACTTTAGCATCTCTTAAAGGCACTATACTCTGACGATACTGTGAGTAACTAAAGCATATAACTAATATAACTAATAATTTACAGCAAGTTATGTAAAAAAGCTGAATAGTATTTTCTACCAGCATTCAAACACATACAACTTTACTAAATAAAAGGAGACTGTATGTAAAAAATGGTGTACTCACTTCTGCTAAAAGAATCCTCCTAATAGCATTAGTAATAGCTGCATCAACTCCAATCATGTCATATTCTAAATTTAAGTCTTCCTTTTTTATAATGTTGACTTTAAACTTCTAAAACAAGATAAAAAAATACATATCAGATTCACACCAGCAAAGGACTGAAAATTTCAGAGTTTTTTGCATTCTTAATAGGATTGAAAAATACTGAAATAATGTATTTGTCAAAAATTAAAATTTTAAAATTCAAGACCAAGATGTGTATTTTGTAGTAAAATGTGACAAATACACATTCTGTAATTACCTTCTAGATAATTATAATTTCTGTATGGTATTTTGAAATGTCTTTTACTCGTGAGTTAATCCTACGCCTCTACAAAAATTTCAAAAACATGGAGCATTAATGTTATTAATTTGTTCTTGTGAATTACTCGTGAAGACAAGCTGCTTAAATGGGATTTGGCTTCACATTTATTTTTTCTAATTATAATTTCTTTTATAATGAATCATTATGATGAAAAATATATATTTTGCAAGTTATTTGGCTTTTCTCGGCATTCAGCAATCAAAATACTGTTAATTCATACTGTACTTTTCTATTTTGGGAATAAAACAAAGGGAATAGCTTTATCAGCTATATTTAATCCACTATAAGAATTCTTAATGAAAATTAAGGAATTAAAGGCCTGCACATACAAGGTCTCCAAAACTGACAGTGTGCTTGCTAACTTTCCAATTGTGTTATTTTGACCTGTGTTTATTTCTATGCCTCTCTATTTCTGTTAGATGTTAACTAGTTTACAAGACAGACCAAACATGTCTATTTAGATTAATACATCTGTGTTGGGTTTCCTTATTACAGGTAGATTACAGCCATAATGAAGAGTCCTAAGATGGGGTAAAAGAATAATTTGTTTTATACACTTGGGTATGAAAAAAAGACTTAAAACTTGGAACTTATTTTTCCAAGAACATATAGTGATTAAGAAATATTTAAATCATGGGCATTAAAATATTTAGAACTTGAATAATGGATATCTTGGTTGGTTGAATTTTGTTTTGATAAGTTGTGCAATGCTTCTGTATATTCCTATAAACCTCACAACTTTTCAGAAAAAGTATAAAGGCTCATGTGAAGTTTAGGTTGGATGATTAGATTGAATAATTTTCTGTTGTTGTTTGCTAGTACTAAGTAGTTGCATGAAAATTAAAACGTTTACACTTTGTGGTAATCATGATAACGCTTTAGCAAACCAATAACAAAAAACAGAGTTTTGCAAGGCCATACTTTTATAATATCACAGTACACGATATACGTGTAACTTGGTGCTAACTAGACTAATTAATAAAATAGAGCCCTACTACATAGTGATAATAAAACTTGAATTGGCAATAAGAGATTGGTATTTTATAAGGGGGTATTTCTAAGCTAAATCTAATGGAAAACCAAGAAAAGAAAGATTTTTCCAATTAATTTATTGACTTATTTTTGTAAAGCTTAAAAGTCAGTTATTATTCAACCAGATTATGCTATTTGTGATGAAAATTTTAATAAAATAATTGTATAACACTAAAACATTTGAGCAAGTTTTCTTATGATTAATAAGATGAGTCTCTTCAAATTAAAAAAACAGAAAATCTTAAACATAATATTATACTAAACACTACCAAAGAATTTTATGACAAGGAACCCACTTTGAGACTGAAGTTTGAAAATGGCTTGATTTGGTAGCAACAATTTAACAGTTTTCTTCATTACCCATTCAAGCCCGTCTTCAAACCTTATAGTACCATAGAATGCCAAAACATCATTCAATTGGTAAACACACAACAACGTAGTTAAGTAATTTTGTAACACAATGAAACCTTAAATTGGTGAACTTTTACAGACTGAAAAGGTTGTCCATTTTTATAAAAACTGTAAAACAATTACTTTTGTTATAACTGGTAATAAACTGTTATCAGTTGTTTTTGTTACTTTTCACGTTGTATCAATGTTGAATTTTTCCAAGCAATAGAAAGAAAGATCCCCCTCCCCCAAAAGAAGTTCACATAAAGTTTGTCATCTTTGCTTATTTAACATTTATTGTCTTTCTTATTACAAAGGTTTAAAACAGAAGCATATAGGCAAAATGATTTGCATATGCCTCTTTCAAAGTAACATATCTGTGACATGAACAAAATAACCAATACTTAACCTTTAAACAACAATAAGGCACTGGACAAAACAGACCTATGCTAGTTCAAATTGTGACCTGATAACTATGGATGCATAATGTACACTGTATCCATACTGATGCCAAAGGGTAAAGAAGTATCAATTTGAGTATCAGTAATTAAGAACTTATAACATATACCACAAGGACAAAAAAAAATATCAAACTGGACAAATGAACACAGTTGAAAAGTTATTTTCCAAAAGATGCCAATAAAAGGAAAATGTTCTCATTAAATTAGCAATTTCATACTTTTAAAGGAATTGATCCCATAATGAGGAAGATCTAGTCTTCTTTATTTTAATGGTACTACATTCTGTACCATCTCATCCAGCTTTTGTATTTTTGGTTTTACTAGCTTTATATTAACTAAAAGTTTCTGGAGGTTTATGTTTGTAGTTGTAAAGGGTTAAACATTAGCTTTTTATATCACTAGACTAGACAGACCAGTTCTTTAAGAAATTAATAGCTCTGACCTTATTTTCAGTAGCCCTGACCTTAAAATGAATTAATCAACACATATACTTTGTTCTTAGATGATAAACATAAAACATGTACCTGTTGTGGAATACACAATACATCAGATCTTCACTCTCATTGTACTCTAACCATTTAAATTCATTTTTCCACTTCGGATAGAACATTATTTTCCATTTTTCCTTTTCATATTTTTTTTATTTCATCCTTTGTTTTTGGTCTCTTTTTCTCTCTTCCTCATCCTCCAAAGAAGTAAAACCAAATTTATATAAACACATTCCTACTTTCACTTTGTGCTGTGAGGTAAACTGCACAGAGAGGCTGTATCGCTCTCCTCTTAGTGGAGGGTATCAGCATAATGATAATACATCATATCTCGGTGCAGACAACCTGTAGGTGTGGGAGTTTTTCCTAGGCATGTGGCCGTGTAGGAAATTAACAGACAAACTGTATGAGATAGCTCATTAGTGAAGTCGTAAATAATTTACTTAGTTAACATTCAAGCTCAATGCAGACTACGGTCATCAACTACAGTTTCGTTCCACTAGACCCTCTTTCCTGTACGTCTGGCTGAACGAGACTACATAAACCATACATGTGCATTTTGTTAACAAGTAATGCTGCTGGAAATGTTCAGTTTAAAAAAATTAAGCAGTTTTCATGACATTTTAAAAGAAATTGTAATTGTGATCAATAGGAAATTGTCAGCAGGAAGACTAATGTCATATGATAATAAATTTAATATGACCAGTCATGCTACCTCTGCACAAGTTCAGCATGACTGGACCCAACTTCAACTGGACTGAGTCAGTCGGACATGCCTTAATGTCAAACCCTACTGCATTATGAAAACAAACATAAGCTATTTATATATTACTGTATAGCCTGTTAAAAATGATGGGTGTTAAGAAAACTCTGTAAAGATTGCTATAAATTAACTAACAACAATTTTATTCACATTATAAATCACATTTTTTGTTTCATAATATTTTTTTTTATACACAACACTGACAATTTTTGAATGTTATTTCTAATGTTAAAAAGTGTCCTAAGAGAAATTTAAAACATTTTTAGCATTTTAGTTATTGCTGCGTAATACATTTTCAAATATTTTTACATTCCTATTTTTCTATTCATGTTTTAACTTTTCACATGTTGTAACAAAGTATGTAAATATTAAAGAAATATTAATTTCTTCAATTGTATAACTTAAATCTGTGTGTTCACACTTATACACATGTAACTAAACATCTGACTCTTAACATTAGTAATAGTAGGTCTATTTGTAGTCTAATTTAAGCATTAGACCTAATACATAAATGCAATGTAAGGCTTAGCTGAAACACTACTTCATTGAAATCCTTGGTAACTTCTATTTTGCTTTTGTCTACAAGTCAATGTCAAAAAACTTAGATGTTCATTAAACAACTGAAAAAAATATAAATAAAATGTTATTTAACTTATCACAGTGCAATAAAAGAGCCTAAAATATTAGCTGTTTTGTAATTAAGCCTCAAGTAAAGACTTAGCATGCAATAACTTACCCTAAGCCCAAGTGCATAAAACTTCTCATGAATATTTTGAATAAGTAGTTTCTGTCTTCGCGTCATTGTTCCTTTACTGGTAATTGTTTATAATTTCCATTGTTGTTTAGCAACAAAACTACCAACTATGGTGTTTATGTTGAATGCTTAATATACATGTTGATTTGTTAGAAAGGTTTTTTTTTATTCTTTATTTTTGTGATATCTTTGGTGATATAACAGTGGAATAATTTAATTTAGAGATGATTTAGAATTGATATTTTTTAGTTAATATATATATAAATACACATACATGCATACACACACAAGTAGAACAGTACATCTGATTGAATAAGATAGTGTCAATTCTTTTTTTCTTGGAAGTTTGAAGGTGCCCTGTTGAGATATAAAGTGAAGAACAAACCCAAATGAACCAGATATTGGGTGGGCGTGAGATGTGACTTCTCCAGCCTGATTAGCCAACCTAGATGAGCCACCTCCCAAAGCAAAAGAAGAGTATGGTTGGAGGAGTCCCATTGAAATGAAACTAAAAATAGTCAGTCATCCATATAATGGTAGAATCTCAATCGAAAGTTGTGAATGTGACAATCAAAGGCACACACTATGGCACACAAAAAAATAATGTATGGGGCCAATGGCAAGCCAAAAGGAAGAGCTCAGAACTGATAAACTTGGCTGTGATGTACACACTGAAGATAAAGACTGGATGCTGGGAATGTGTTGATAAGCAACAGAAACATTGACCTTCATCATCCAAAGCCCTTTTAAAAAAAAGACCATCAGAGGGTGAGAAAATTCATCATAGTAAACTGAGGTAGGTCAAGAAACTGACAGATTGGATAGAACAATTACCAATGTACTGGGGAATGACAAACAGATGGGAATAAAATCCCAGAGAAGTGTGTGAGACCCTTTCAATAGCATTCTTGGCCAAAAGTTCTGACACTGCCTTGGAGAGGCACTGGTTGGAGACAGGATCCCCTGCAGGAAGGAGAGGAATGGAAACAGGAGACAAAGAAGAGAAATGAAGGGTAAAGCCAACCAATAAAACCTGTACCTCCTAATGGTTGGCCACAAAAGGATTCCATAGATCAGCAAATCATGAACCCAGAAGAAAGTCATTGATGAAATTGTAAGAGTTCATACCTACAGATAGTGGAAGAACAGATGGGAGAAGAAGAATGGGATGGAAGAACACAGAGTAGCAATGAGTTAGAGAATGGAAAAGAGCAACTTTAAGATAAAAAGCTTGGAAAAGACAGAACACAAAGGTAGTCAATGAAAATTGTTGGCATGTAGCCTCGGTTCATTACTACAAAGAATCAGGTAGCCCAACAAAAACCCACTGGTGAAGGAAAGGAACTATACAAAGGTTCCTGAGATAAGAGGGAAGTAAATATATTTAGACAAGAAGGGCATCTCTACCCAACATATCACACCAATAGAGTTACCAAGTGAGAAGGGACAAGGCCAAGGAAGAATGTTTGCCAAAAACATCTCAGGGGAACAGTGAACTGTTTCCAAAAGGAGATAGATGGAGGACAGATAATGTAAAAGGGTAGTAAGGGTAAGGCAAAAGTGAGAAAACTCAGCTTGAGAAAGACCAAGGATCTACCTTAACATTCTGCAATCTTCCCTTACTTTTATTCTCAGATATGTTACTTTTTATCATCCTGTCGTATTCTTTACTTTCCTTTCTTCAGAATATTATGTATTTCCTCCTTCCTCTGATATCCAAGCCCATGATGAAATTTTTTTCTGTCTCAACTTCATTCTGGTGCCGATATGCCTCATTCTCTTTGACTGATTACACATATGCCTTGGCTTATAGTCAAGCTAAGGACATCTTCCTGGACTTCCAAACCGTGGAGTTTCTTCTTCAGGCTTGGGGTTCTGATCCATTGTCATTTAAAGTATGCACTGGAAAAGTTGTTTGCAAATTTAGGTGGTGGGAAAAGTGCTTAAAATCCATGTCCTCACAGACGGGAGTTATAGAAAGAGGGAAGTCCATGTCAAGGCCTGAAAAAGTGATAGTATATCTAGAGTGAACAAAGTCCAAATGTTCAACACCAGACAGTGTGGAAATGACCATCTCTGTATAATACATGTTGTAGATGCAGAATTGTTTCAAAATAAATACAAAATATTTCCATAACAGTTGGTTTTGTAGATACTTCAACCAAATGTTGATGTTCAGAAATCTCATGCAAGCAAAAAAAAATACATCTTAATACATGAGTGCCTAAATAAGATATGATGATTGAACAATCAGAATAGAGGGAAGAGATAGCTTCGATGGAAGGCAGTGTCGCACTTCTATTGGTGAAGGGTTGTCACATTCTCATTTGCAAGTAACAATGCAACAATATCACGTGGAAACACGTTGGAATATTAGTTGGAAGCCTCAAGGCTAGTTGCGAGCAAAAAAGTTTGCATATAGAAGGCAGCACTGAATTGGGAAAAACTAGGTGGAAGAGTGGGTTATATATTGTATAAGAACTAAAGATGTCCCAGATACATAGCTAAGTTAACACTGTTTACTGAACTATACCTTTTAATTGATTCCTCTACTAATTGTAAAGCTTCATTTAGAAAATCCACAAAATTAGGTAATGAAAATATTGAAAAATAGGTTCAGTATACATTCCAACTGCAAGAAGTTGTCTACCAATTTAGAAGGCTATTTAAATTTCATGATATTGCAAATAATGTGATTCACAAAGTTTGTCTCAGAAAATATATTTTTCGAACAGGCTAAACTAGTAATGTTATCTATCAGACTACTAAAATCAAAGACAGTTATAATTTGGGAATAGCAAGTCAATCAAGATGTTTTAAATATTTGGGGAAAGTTATTCAAATTACCCACGTACTGTTTTTATATTCTATTTTCTTTCTGTTTTTTTAATCACTTTTTCAGTTGACTGCCATTCCTTCATTTCACATTGGATTGGCTTCAAACGTGGTAGATAAATATCTTAATCCAATATACCCAGATTCATTTTTTCATTTTTTTGGTTTAGGCTTTTTAAGGAATTTATAAGGTCAAAGATCAAACAGCCCAAAAAATGTGTATTTTGGGCTCCTATTCAGTTATATACACAGCAATCAAGATAAAAAGCAGCCTAAACATAAATTTTCATCCACCCAACATATTGACGTACAAAAAAAAGTTGGATTTGCTCATTTTGAGTCATTTTAAGGGGGGGGGGGTCATAGCTTTGAAAAAAGCATAATTATGGAGTTTCTGGTCAATTCCTTGGCCATATTTTGACCAATTTACAATATACAAAGTACAAAGATATCTTCTTGCAGGTCCCAAGCAGTGACACAGACAGTTTTTTTTTATTTTTCTGTGTTTTTACAATTTTTCTGGTGTCAAAATTGGCCATGTTGGGATTGCGTGACGAAGACATGCTGGTTTCACGCATGAATTTAATTGGCCTCTTTAATTTTGCTTTATGAATTTATAGTGTGAGTATCAAAATTTCTCTGGCGAGACATAATGATTATCAAAACAGTACAGATTATTTCTAACCATGTTCACAAGTCACACAAAAATGTTTAAAACCACATAAAAGAATTTACAATTTGTTCAAAATTTCAATATTTTATTTAAGTAAGGTGAAAATGCCAAGTTTAGAAAAAATGGGGTTGGTTTGAATTTTGCACAAAGCTACTTAAGGGCTAGCTGTCCCTAATTTAGCAGTGATAGATTAGAGGGAGAGCATCTAGTCGACATCAGCCACCACCAACTCTTAGGATACTCCTATAAATGACTAGTGGGATTGAACATCACATTATATCACCACCACAGCTGAAAAGGCAAGCATGTTCTGTTAGAAGGATTTGAATCTGCTACCTATAGACTGTGAGTGAAGCACCCTAACCACTAGGCCATGCCAGGTCTTAAGAGTAAATAATTCTTATCTATAAACTGACATACAGATATCAAAAGATGTTATTTCAATAATTGAATTTTTTCTTACAAAATTATTACTACAATGTTTTTGGGATTCTTCAGTAATTTAATGTCATTCTGAAAAATATCTTTCACCATCATATAATCAAATGTAAATAAGTGTCTGGATTTAAAAAAAGAATGTTTCTAATCATTCAGTCTGTGTTTTTAACTCTTTTTTTTAAACTTACCTTTTCAAATTTATCTTGACTCCAAGCATCATCATAGCCTGGATAAGTATGAGGAAAATCAGTAGTTTCTGTCTGCAGAACACAGCCAAAATGAAGAATAAAAGTTATTAGTTATATTCATGTATCTATAACACAGAGCTCAATGGAAGATAACTTTTTCCACATAAACATTTGTAAAATGCCATAAAAGTCTAGAAACTATCTGGCAAAAATTAATAGCAATAATGTATCACATCAAATTAAAAATTATACACACTGCTTTTGCACTATTTCCTATAAATTACTCACACATAAATTTGTGAAAATACCATGTTTAGAACAAATTAGTTTTATCTCACAGCATCACTTTAACTCAATTTCAACAACTTGCATGAAAATTTGGTCAACAATAAAAAAAATATAAGTTGGAACAATTTAGATGCCTAAGTTAGAGCATAATACCTGTTTCAAAACAGAATTTTCATGGAAGAACAGATACAAGTTTGCCAATTAAATATATTGATTTTTAGTGAATTTCAATTTTAGAATAAATATTTTTGTATCTCCAAATTTAACAAGTAGATAATAAAAACACTGATTAAATTTATCAGACCTATTTTGGTATATAATGTAGTAAAATAATAACAACAGTAACTATATTTTTTCAAATAAAGCATCTAGAATGTTATTGAGTACAACAGAAACAGATTTAGTAACTGTATTAAAGAGTTTGTAATAAACCTGAACTTAACAGAAGTTTTACGCAATTTCAGAATTGCATATCAAAATAAGTTAGAACAAGTATTCATATTTCATTTTTAATAGCTTTCTTTAAATTAGTAATATTTCTACTTTTATTCAAAGTGCTTTTATAAATGTATTTGTTGTATTGATTTCATTAGTTAAAATTTGTGCATATAATTTTTTACATACAAAACACAATTACAGCCAGCTTTGTCAACAGCGGTAATAATAAATTGTTCTTGAATTTTCCTTATTTTATTTTTTAAAATAATGAAAAATATATCTGTTTTATATCTAGATACGTTTAAAGAAACACGGGGATAATGAGATTTTACCAACTTTGATAATGTCCTTTAAGCCTTCTCTTTGTCTTTTTTAAATTTCAAATTTAGTACCTTTTTCCTAAAATAAATTTTAATTCTTTATCTTTTATAACCTCTAAATTACCTTTAACAATATGATGATGAAAAGAGTCAATAAAATCACTATTGATACAGTTATAAAAGAAGTTATCAATTTCTCTCAGATTTAATAAGATTATTATATTTAAAACTAACAATAAGTTGTAATTATTTTTCCTTTTTTGTCTTTTACCAAAATATTCATTAGTATTTGATTCCATTTTAATCAAAATTTTATTACATCTATAATTAAAACATTAATATGAATACGTTTAAATTCAAAATTTAACATATATTTTGACAAATGCTTTTTTCAAATCATTTAATTCAAATAATTGTTTTATTATAAATTTTAAAACACTTATACATCATTCAAAAGCAGAATCTAAATTTTTCCAAAAATCTTCAGAATTACTTCATTTTTTTTCCTATTTTTACCTTTACCCTCTTTTACTTCTGTTGAATGTTATAACAATTTATCCAAAATAAATGTCTAATACAAATACTTGTACTTAAAAATTCAGCAATTTTTTTGTTTGTTTTGTACATAAATATATATAATTTAATTACAAGCATTTTTGAATTTTGTTTTTTTGAGTAGAATTATTTCTCTCAACATTTGTTACTGGTAATACAGAACAGAATATGAAAAGTTCACTAGATATGTGTGTGTGTGTGTGTGTGTGTGTGTGTGTGCAGAGAACTTTAACAGTAAGCAAGCCAGATGAAGTTAGTATCAATTTTGCCATGATATGAAAGTTATATATATTTTAGGAAAGAAAGGAGTAATTTCTTGTAGCATTGAGATTTTTATGTTGGATCTGCTTTTGTCTAGTTAACTTTTAAGAAACAGTCTTTGGTATACCATTTTGTTGTAGCACAACTAATCAGCTATCATCATTGAGATCGCACAATCTTTGGCAACATTATATTCACTCTAGGCATATAATTATAAATCAGATAGGAATATCTTAAGAATGTTCATAACTTAGTTACAAATAAATATAATGAATGTGAATTCAAGAGAATCTTACAAGTTGTTTTATTTGCTAAATGTTTCGGTTTTATATCTTCATCAAGAGCATACAATTCATGTAACAAACTCTTATCATTCAAATTAAGACTGTTGTTTTCTAAGAATTAAACCACACACAAAAGAACATCATGTAGGTGATTTCCTATTATTACAATGCTCGAGCACGTATGTAAAGAATACGAACAGAATTGTTATATAAAGAAACAATATCTTACATAGTATATAAAAAGCCTTAACAGGGAAGTTTCATAAAATTAGACAGAGTAAATAAATTATTATCCAACTATTTTGTAGAAGAATTTGCCTAAGCTCAGTCATTTTTTTCATGTTTTTGTGCCTGAGCATGTTTTGTGTATTGTGAGATGCTGACCAATAATCACACTCTTCCTTATGGAAGAACGATGATGTGACTCATAGTGTAGAAATATTGGTTTCTTATAATTTTTCCAGTGTTGTGTAGAGATGTTGGTATTTTTCTATCTTTCAATATTACCAGAATGTCTTGGAAAACAAGTTTAGACCTATCATTTGAGATTTGAAGAGTGAAGTTAAGTTTGGGGTGTATCTTATTGAAGTGGTTATGTTGGTAAATCAGGTTCTCCATCCTATGGTTCCAAATACCGAATATTTCACTTATGTAGTGATACCATATTTCAGAACCAAAGTTAGCCTGGAAACAAAAACTAAAAATGCTTGACTTGAATGCAACTATCATAATGAATACATTACCACAAGTTCATTCACCCACCCCCACACAGCATTATTAATGAGCTTTTAATAAGCTTTCTCAATTCCATTTCTGCACTGATATGAGATAGACACTTTCTAATATTGTAAGAACAGTTTAAATTCAATGTCATTTTGCCAAGTATAATTGAATAAAAAAAAACTATCCTCTTGTCAGTGATACTGACAAAGGTATAAAGAACTATTTAGACAGAACTGATTTAAGAAAACAATAAAAGCATGCAATGGTAAAAAGAAAATAAACTGTTTTATGTGGCTTAATATGTACAGTTGATGTGACACATAGATTGGCTTATTAAGGACTTAGTTTGCCAGCTTAGAAAATTAATAACCTTTCTAGATCATGTGATTTAAAGGATGTGCAACACTAGCATCTACATTTTGGATATCAAACCATCCACTGTTTTTTAACAATATCAATCTGAGTAAATATCCTCTGAATCTTGAAAAACATGTCAAAATGGTAATATGAAAATAAGTTCAGAGAACTTTACACAGACAATGTTGTTTTCAACCCACACATCATTACAAATGGCCTGAAAGATTATTCATGCTTGTACTTTTCTGATCATGATGTGAAACCACAACATGATCAGCTCCCATATATTGTTATATTTGTGTATCTTGTGGATTCCACCAGTAGCTTAACCTATAAAAATACAAAATGTTATAAAAAAAACTTCAATGGTTATAAACTATTCTTAGAGGATGGTGCTAGACATGAAAACAAAAACAAAAAAAAAAAGATTGTGGCTGGAAGGAATCACCTCTTTGTAACTCTTGATTTTTTTTGTAACTCCTACTTTTTCTATTTCCCATATTTGCCACTATAGCATAATATTTGTGCTCACTAGTATCAAGTATTAGTAGTATTTATTCACTATGATATAACCCATACACCTCTCAGTCTGCAATACAGTGGTGTCTGACTATGGCCTATCTAACAATGGTACTTATGTCATTGTAAGTATGTAAATTACTTATAAGTGCCTGTGGAAATGATATGAAGCCCTTATCAAATATCACTAGTTTCAATAATTAATAAACAGTCTGACACTTATACACATATTCAATTACAAAGTTTAAATTTATACATATATTCCAATACTTTTTCCCAAAATATTCACTACACATACAAGAACAGTATGAAGGTTGCCTATTTTTCCAATTTTCTTTTTGGGTCAGCCAAGAATCTGTAAAAAGATATACCAGTCCTGAAACCTGTCTATTAATGTAGTGAAAAGTACAGCAGTTGAAAGGCATTTCCAATTTTTATTTTTCATTGCCCAGATGTATGAGCACTGCCATCCAATATGGCAGACACTGAGAGAAAATAATACGATCATGTAATACGTAATGTTATGACCCCATTCTTAAAAGATTTATTGATTAAGATATGACCTGTTGATTTAACTTGCTTGAACAATGCCATTTCTCTTCATGATGTACTTCAAAGTTTTACTTCAACTTCAAGGAAACCTTTGCTGAAGAAGTAATGTTTGTAATAAATCAAGGAGCTTCCAAAGTGCTTCTTCCTTGTTCTCCCCAGCAGAGGCACTTCCCAACACACCTCACAAGGACCTCAGTGTCCTCTGAACTACAACTAGGGCTTCTTCTTTTATTATTCCTCTTGTCTGTTCATACCTACAACTTATTTTGTCAACAGTCTTAGGAACCTTCTTGAAAAATTTATATTGTGGTACCAAGAACAACATACATCTTTATACAAACATTTGTTGTAAAATATATGCTTGTTTCTTTATAGTAAAGAGCAGGTTTTAAGAAATGAATCTATATTAAGGGATAACTTTTAGAACTTTTAGTTTTACACAAAAATAATTAAACGGTTTGTCACGAATTATTATTAGCAAAAGACTGGGTGACAAAAATATTACATAGTTTGCTCACACTCTCACAGGTAGTTGCACAATGACAACTTCACTTTAGTTTATTTTTTTAATTAACTGGTCTTTAGTTGCAAACGAAAAACATTTGAATACGTTTAACTGAGATAAACTATTTAAACTTTAACTTTAAGCCTGTCAACCATGAATTTTATTTTTAATGTTTTACAATAATAATATTAATACCCATATATACTGTATGTGTGTGTGTGTGTGCGTGCGTTTATAAATTATAGTTATACCATTACAATCTACAGGTTTATAAAAAATAAAGGATCTAAAAGTAAAAGAAAACAGCTTACATCAATCACATCATATTCTCTTAACTGAACACGCGTTCTCTTTTCACTGATAATATCCATTCAATTTCATGAAAAGTCTACTATATCTTTCAAGTTTTAAAACACGTGAAAACATTGAAAGGCAAGTTTGTAAGATAACAGTGAGCGTCACCTGTGTAATATATAATGCAAATAATTTTCCTGTTCTTACATTATTTGCCTACTTTATGAAACTTTTAAATTTCTTGAGATTATTTATAAATTATTACCATGGAGAGAATGACAAATATTTTGTTAAGATCTAGGATCTGAAAGTTTAATTAAATGTGTATATCTTTCGTAATATAATAATTAACTGTAAGAATGTGTTGTAATAATATAATTATATGGTTTAATAAAATCAAAACGAAATAAATATTTTAAAGTAGCATTTAAAGTAAAAAGGACTGATGAAGAATTAACACTTTGTTGTTGTTGTTTCAGATGATGTGCTATAAGTCTTTCAAAATATATTTGTACGTCCATATAGAATAGCTAATCCTAATAACATGAAAGGAACAACTCCTTTTACCTTCTCAATATTATCTAAATACCATATTTTATAAATATGTTTTTATTTTACTTGATTTTTCTCCCAAAGTATCTCAATACTCCTTGATGTTAGAGCTTCAAAGGACGTTTGACACATGAAATAAGTTGTTTTGTTCTGGACCAACATCTTTGTTTTCATTACTAAAGCCTGGCGTGGCCAGGTAGTCAGAGCGCTTTCGTCGCACTCTGAATGGTGCGGGTTCGAATCCCTGTCCCACCAAACACACTCACTCTTCCAGTTGTGGAGGGGGTGATATAATGTGACTGTTAATTCTAGTATGCGTTGGTAAAAGAGTTAGCCCAAGAGTTGGCGGTAGGTAGTAAAAGACTTTAGGGGCGGATAGTCATCGTATAGCTTTGTGCGAAATTCAAAAACTGACAAATTCATTACTAGACATTTTTACCCCCACTTGGAATCAATTACTTTATACTTTAAACCACTAAGAAACTGCGCACTCTTTTGATATGCTGTTTCATATCGTAAAATATTTAGTTTGTATAAATTTTTTTGTTTGTTTGTTTAAAAAGTAAACGCCAAATCATGTAAAAATAAACATAAGTTTCGAAACCAGATGTTTAAAACGTCTAGATTAGCCAAATTTACAAAAATTGCAACTTAAACATAAAAAAAATATTTTTCATTATGCTGGACTCATGTTTTTTGTTTGTTTGTTTTTAATTATGCACAGAGGCTATCTGTGCTCTGCCCACCACGGGTAGTCGAATCCAGGTTTCTAGCGTTGTAAGTCCGCAGACATAACGCTGTGCCACTGGGGGGCGCTCTCATGGTAGGTTCCCAACTCTTGGGCTATTCTTTCATCGTCACACTATAACTTCCCTAACGGCTGAAAGAGTGAGGATGTTGGATGATGGAGATTCGAACTCGCGATCTTTAGACTACGAATCAACTATCTAAACCACCAAGCCTTGCCAGACCTTTATTGTTACTTAACAGTATAGACCATGGTGTAGTTCTGCAGGGTCACGAAGGAGTGCTAACTCCTCATTTAATGATTGGTATGTGTTTTTGACTTTCTTTTTGAATGTATAAAACAAATATATTATTTTTTATGTAGTCTGATTCTATTTACGTTACTTATATTATTATGATGTTATTTTCATTCTAGTTACCTATGTTCTTTTCTTGCTCTCTTAGAGATAATACCTGCTCTGCCCACGAAATTATTGTTTTTAATTTTGCATATTGTACAATGACAACAATGTCTGTCATTGACCGTGTAGATAATACCTGGAGGTTACGGTCATAACTAAATTGTATGAGAACAATTAGTCACGTGATGTGCACTTGTCGTTATGGGTAAAACCGACGTTTCTTGTGTTCGACTGACACACTTCTACTTCGTTTCTAACATGAGTCAGTTGATGGGAAAATATTGCTACGACATCGGAGGTCACGTGACTTTAGTATCACGCCACAAGCTTTTCGAACGTTAACGTCCCTTCATGAAATATCGGGAGTTTACTAGATCTCGGTATTCTTTTATATATATAAGGTAATGAGTAATTGAATGTATGCGGAGAGAGAATATTGTTGGGCACGTGAGACGTTCGTTGTGAGTTATAGCGTTGGTTATACCGCGACTGTTGAAATTAAGTGTATTGCAAAGTTGTATTCAGAAAGAATAAACCAGTTTTATTTAAGAAAGGACTTTATCGTCAGAGTTTCTTCGGAAATAATTTTTACGGAAAATTAACTAACGAACGGAGACGTAACAAATTCGTGTCAGGAGTGGGATGGAAAACAAAAAGAAAAAAAATGGAAACGAGAGGCGGCAAATTAAACTACAGCTTAGCAGATTTGATGGCAGCAATACAAGAACAGCAAAAGAAACAAGAAGAGAGACAACAGCAGTTGCAAGAAAACCTGCAACAGTGGCAGCTGGAACAAGAAAAGAAACAAGAAGAGAGACAACAGCTGTTGCAAGAAAACCTGCAACAGTGGCAGCTGGAACAACAAAAGAAACAAGAAGAGAGATTACAGCAGTTGTTGGAGGAAAAAGAAAAGAAGCAAGAAGAACGAGAAATGAGACAAGAAGAACGAGAAAAGAAACAAGAATAACGAGAAAAGAAACAAGAAGAAAGATTACAGCAGTGGCAAGAAAACCTACAACAATATCAGCTCGAACAGCAAGATAAACAAGAGAGACTACAGCAGTGGTTGAAGGAGAAAGAAAATAAACAAGAAGAAAGACTACAGCAGTTGTTAGAGGAGAAAGCAAATAAACAAGAAGAGAAATTACAGCAGTTGTTGGAGGAAAAAGAAACAAGAAGAACGAGAAAAGAAACAAGAAGAGAGACAACAGCAGTGGTAACTGGAACAAGAAAGGAAACAAGAAGTACAAACGGAAAACATTAGTAAATTTAAAAGCGAATTAGATACGTTAATGGGCGATTTATTGTCTTTTACACAAGAAGGATACAATAACCATCGACTTAACCAGCCCC